GAAGCCAAAGATTGGAGTTATTGGCAAAGAGTAATAAGCGTTGGCATTGTTTCCCCTAACGGTGCAAACTTAGTAAGGCCGCGTTTCGGAAGATCTTTAGTATACTTACTCTGTGTATCTAAGATGACCAGACATCGTATCGTCAAGTGGATGTTATAGAGAGGAAATGCATGCTTGATCACAGTTTGTTCCCGAGAGGCGGATAGTTATGCCAGCCCCCGGGGGACGCGAGGTCGTCCTGGGGGTTATTACGAATCTCGAAGCCTTGCGTCGGGTTTTCTTTGGTAATAGGCAGAACGAGGTACTACAAATGCACATTATCAGCCCGGGGTCAGGAGGGTTCTGATGCTCCAAGCAGCTTACTTGGACCTCAGTGACAAAGTCGATGATTGAAATGAGCTCTCCAGACTGGGCATCGACGAATGCCTGATACCAACTTCCAGCGTTTTCATTCTGGATCTGGGCGACATGGGTCAGAGCGACAGAACCATCCTCCTTGACAAGATACTCGAGTGTCGCGGGCTGGTTATTAAACTTGCCATCGAGAAGTCCCTCAGCCGTTGCAATAGCTGCCTTCAGTGACACGGAGGGCTTTGAGGGAGCAATGCTCTCTTAATATAGGAATGGTCAGAAACGTGATAGGAACTGAATGTTGAAAAGGTCAACTTGGTTTGACAAACGAGGACCCGAACGCGACGATCTGGGTACATTCGGATAATTAGATAGACTTCGTTCGGCGAGAAAATTTGTACCTTGTTGTCGTGGTTGTAGGCGATATTGGCAACTGCGTTAGCAAACGGAATGCCATCCTGTCTCGTCACACATATTAGCTCGAATTGATCATTGTGATAAGTAGATCCACACACATGAACTTGGCTGACGTAGGCGTGCTTCGAGGTCTCCCCTGAGTACCCAGTGCGGAATTTGATGGTTCCAAAGTCAATCTTGAGGTGCGATGCTACGAAGGACACAGTGGCGCCTTCGAGATCGGTGTCGGCATGCTTCGATAAGGGATGATCCATCCCTTCGCCGAAGGTCTAAAAAGAATTAGTACACGATACTGCCAGTGTGCGTAAAATTAAGGATTCACCTGGTACGAAGAGCCTGGGTGGAAGGTTTCCATCTTCAATCCGCGACCAACATGTCTTGTGCGATGAGTAGCATGTTTCGACTCTGAGGGGACCGTGAAAGCTGAAGTAGTCGATACATACGCAGCAGCAAGGAAAATGGAAGTGAAAAACTTCTTCAATGCAAGCATTGGCGACACAGAGATGGTAGACGAGCGATTCTGAGAAGGGAGACCTTGGAATCGATTCAAGGCCATTGTAGGTCTTTATATTCGTCGTATGGTGCTCGTTTAAGGTCTGACTACCACCGGACTAGAAGGGAATACGGACTTCAAGGATGGCGTGCGCGGCATGATGAAAAAGAGGGGCTAGGAACTCGACGTAAAGTTTGACAGCAGAATGCTGCTGTAAATCGCTGGAATGGCTGGCACTAACAGGGGGTCGCGAATATCGCGATCTTGGGAGGTGGGATCTAAATCGGTATATCAGACGTTCAGATTTGACTCGATGTTACTCGATCATCAGGAGTCGATAGAACTCGAAAGGCTCACCTCAACGTAGGTAGCAAAGACGACAGGGATGCTTACACCCTGATAAGCGGCAGAATCCTAGAAGCTAGCGGATAAATGTGGGCTTAACCGAATTGTAACGCAGACTGAAGTGTGAACACCAAACGCGAATACTTGAACATGTTCATGATGCGCTCTTTATGGCTTTGGTAAATATATCTTATAAGTATATCCTGTGGGCACAGGTAGTAAGAGACCGTCTGTATGAGCCGAGAGGCATATGTATCGGGTGAGGCTTGCTGTGGTTGATGGAGCAGAATTGGTGTTGATTCTCGAACGCGTTGGCCCTTTGTTGGGGCCCGCCTTGAAGTTGATGATAATCAGATAAGATTTACTAAAAAGCACGTCATGTGCCCTCATATATCCGAAATATTTGCCTCCACGAACCCATATTTCTTCCACAGTGCAAGTTGAACCTTCCAGTGTGCTCAGCGTCTCTTCACAACCGCGGATTAGGACCAGAATACCAGCTGCGCTGGCTTCGTGAACCAGTAAATGCTCGGCCTTGCAGGTGGTGCCAGCCGAGCCTCATGTGGAACTCGCCTACTTCGTGGCCTTGGGACCCCAGTTGCATTGTGTTCGCGGCAGGGCATTCGTGGCATACACATACTGAGATCGGCGTCAAGGCAAGACCTGAACGTAGCTTCTTATGTCCGCCGAAAGTCGGAGCCCGATAATTTTTTCACTTCGTCGCGTCGGGCATTCCAACACCTGGCACCGAAGCCGGAACCAACTCAGTCCGATTCCAGATCTTCTTCACTGGATACGGCAGGGAAAAAGGTTCCAGACAAGTCGGATGATCCGACTGCGACCGAACAGAGGAAGAGCGATTGGGGTATCATTAAACGGCTCTTGGTGAATGTGTGGCCAAAAGATGACTGGAAGACGCGGGGGACGGTGATACTAGGGTTCGCCCTACTCGTTGGTGGCAAGGTGCGTAACACAAATTTGTTACTCGAATGATGGAACCTCAACCGTGTCGCCATCCGATAGGTCCTCAACGTCCAAGTTCCCTTAATTTTCAAAAATGTGATCGACACGCTTAACCTCGACATTGCCGAGCCTTCCACAGTCTGGGTGGTCGCAGGAAGCTTGATTCTTGGATGTAACTAGTCCATCTTCTGAGTGCTGATTTAGGTCTGAGATTGTCTTGAATCATAGATGGAGCAGCTAGGATTGGCGCTACGGTCTTCGGCGAATTGTTGAACGCGGTGTTTGCGGGTATCGGCCAACGGGCGATACGCAAGGTCGCAAGGGAAACGTTTGAGCATCTGCTCAACCTCGATCTCCGCTTCCACCTCTCTCGGCAGACGGGAGGCTTGACACGCGCGATCGACCGCGGTACAAAGTACGCCATCTTTTGTTATCTTGTTCATCTGAAGATTCTAAAGGGTGCAGAGGAATTACATTTCTCCTCCAGGCCATAATATTCCGTATCGTGCCTACGGCGTTGGAAATCACGATGGTTTGCGGTATCCTGGTTAGTCTCTTGCTTCCCATTTGAAACTCGACGATATGAACCCGCCGTTTCAAGACATACAAATTTGGCTGGGACTTTGCAGCAATTACTGCGATCACTATGGCAGCTTACACTTGGTTTACCGTTCGCACAACGTCATGGCGGTGAGTTTCCAGTCATATTTATTCTAAGTGATGATCTCATTCATTCTTCAGGACCCGTTTCCGACGTGAAGCCAACAAAGCAGACAATAAGGCTGCTACTGTGGCTGTGGATTCTTTGATAAACTTTGAAGCTGTCAAGGTGCACTAAATGCCACTGCTGGAAATAACCAAGGATCTGACCCGGCCCTAGTAGCACTTCAACAATGAGAAATACGAAGTTAAGCAGTATGACAAGTATCTTGCTCAATACGAGAAGGCTTCGGTGAAGATCACGACGTCATTGGCATATCTAAACTCTGGCCAAAATATCATTTTCTCAAGTGCTTTGACGACAGCCATGTTACTGTCTGCTCAAGGTGTTTTGAATGGTTCGTGGACACCCAACGCTTTTTAAATCTCCCTTTTCACCTGCTCCTTTATAGGGACGATGTCGGTTGGTGACCTAGTTATGGTAAACCAGCTGATCTTCCAGTTATCGTTGCCTCTTAATTTCCTGGGAACGATATATCGTGAGATGCGGCAGAACCTGCTAGACATGGAGGTGTTATTCAAGCTTGTCGAAGAAAACCCTCCCCCAAAGGTCTGCTGTCTCCCATTCCCATTGACTTTCATCGGTTTCCTGAAGTAGAGCTCACTAGGATAAACCTGATGCACGCCCGCTCCAATTGAAAGGCGGTTCGATTCGCTTCGAGAACGTCACCTTCGGCTACCACCCCGACCGCCCCATCTTCCGCAACCTCTCCTTCACAGTCCCAGCCGGAAAGAAGGTTGCTATCGTCGGCCCTTCTGGGTGCGGCAAATCCACTGTCTTCCGCCTCCTCTACAGGTTCTACGACCCCGCCTCCGGCCGCATATTCATCGATGACCAAAACATATACGACGTCACGTTGGACAGCCTGCGTCGGAGCATTGGCGTCGTCCCCCAGGACACGCCGCTGTTCCATTCTGATATCATGCATAATATTCGGTATGGGCGGTTAAATGCGACGGATGAGGAGGTGAAGGAGGCTGCGATGAAGGCGAATGTGCATCATACGATTATGTCTCTACCGCAGGGATACCATACGCAGGTTGGGGAGCGGGGGCTTATGATTAGCGGAGGGGAGAAGCAGCGGTTGGCGGTTGCGCGCGTGCTGCTTAAGGATCCCCCGATCCTGTTCTTTGACGAAGCTGTGAGTTCTCGAGGTTCTCCTGATGCATTTTTGGATATCTTACCATAGATATCAGACGTCTGCCCTGGATGCCCACACGGAGTCGGAGTTGATGAAGAATATCAACAGTACTTTGCTGGATAAAGCACGGACCAGTATCTTTATTGCTCACCGTTTAAGGACAGTCGTCGAATCCGGTACGTCTGCCTGTCCTTATGCCTCTTTCCGTGCTAATACAGTATCCCTTGAAGACCTTATCATCGTAATGAAGAACGGCGAAGTGGTGGAGCAAGGCACACATGATGAGCTGCTGCGGAAGGGTGGTTTATATCACAGCATGTGGCAGCAGCAGGCGACCCTTGAGGTGTTCGACCAAGCGCGGCCAGAGGAGGTGTCTGCGTAGCTACTAGCTCCTCGTGTGGCCAACCGATTCATTCTCATACCTAAATTGATATCACTGACGATGTTGTAATTTATTAGTCTTTTTGTACAAGCAGAGTCATGTGTGAGGCCTTGAGGATCGAATCTCGATTGGTCTCGCCCTGACACAGACCGAAAACATTTAAAATTATGCCACAAAAGCAAAAACATTCCCTCTAGCCGACTTGAACGACTGACCTCGTCATGTAAGTCAGACAAATGATGTATACTGAGTACTAGTGACGCGCTCTACCACTGAGCTAAGAGGGACTTGCAGGTTCGAAGGTACGCTGTATCAACAGCACGTCGAGTCTACCTCGCACCCAAAACGTTCGCGACTGCCTGTCTTTCACGAAGGATTACGATTGATTGGAATCTAAATAAGGATATCTAACTAGAGGGACGATAGCACAGCTAGGGATCATCCCACTACAGCATTCCCTTGACGAGTTTTACGAGTACTCTCGTCCATAATCGGATCCGCCTCCGCGCACCTTTCCACTCAGTGGCATAAGACCGCAATCGGGTGACCTCATCTTGCAGTTGGTGTCTAATGGCCATGGTGGATGACGTGCGAGACAGACTGTCGTCGGGTAGTTCCAATGACTCGGCAGCCGTGTTTTCCGGTTCTGCATTGTCCTGCGTAGAAGGGACGACCATGATGAAGGATAGTTCGGTGTCGATGTGGGCCGAACGCGAATTGAGGTTTGTCGAACCAAACAGGGTTAGAACTGGCGGGGAAGAGTGGCTTGGCGAAACCCATATTCCTATGATGAGGGTTAAGTACCAAGAGACGAGGAAGGAGAGAAACGGAGTACGAACCTTTCGCATGATATGTCCAGCCCTTCCTTTCCCATTCACTCAATTGTACACCTCGACCCTGGCCGCCCTCGGCAGAAGGATTCCACAGCCGACCGACTTTCGTCACGGCCCTCATAAAACGCTGCTCTAGTAGAGTATATCCTTCTGGTATTCGGCCTGAAACGCCTTTCGATCCGAAGAATCCGTTGGCCTGCTCAGAAGGTTAGAACTGAAGGAAAGCAAATGTTCCGGATCCAGAGAGAGAGGGCATACCTTCGGGCTTGCGGCGACGATGCGAGTATCGACGTCACTGGTAAGGATGAGGTCTTGATAGGGTTTATAGAGGCCGAAATAGCCACTGGTAAGGTCGACCATAGGCCGGGAGGCCCGTGCCAATTTTGAGTCCTGGGTACGCGCTGGCTGCGCCGAGAGATGGCGAAAGAGAAGAGCGAGAACGGACTCTTCTTCACGGATATTGAATTGCCCTGCTTGGATGACAGGGAAAAGGAGCACGTTGTCGGGAGCGATCCTGTTATTTGGCAATGCCATCTCCTTGTCGGATGAGACCTGCAGTTTGTGCACGGAACGTTGTGAGGTTTGGAAGGTGGTGAGTGCTGCCTCTGCCTTTTGCTGTATATGATGCGGGTGCGTGTGTGGATCCGGCCAATGGAGCGTATATCCTTCACGTTCGTAGGAATGAGGCCCCAGGTCGGCGGATAGGAGGGAAAGCTGGTATGAAAAGGTGGATACGGTCCGGAGGAAGTCGAAACAATACTGCGCAATGTGTGGTTGCGCCTTGAAGTGAATATAACGGTCTTGACGGTTCGTGAAATAGGACTGGTTGAGATTCGCCCTTCAAAAGGCTCGGATTAAGCTACGGATGGCAAAGATCTATTACAGTGAGGACTCACCCGCTGATCATGACTTCGTCATCGACACCGTATATTTTAGCGTGCCAAGTCCCCCATCCTTCATTGAAGCGCGGTGGCACTATTCTCGCGAGGAGTCCACGTAAACTAGGACTCCTGAACAATGATATGTGCACGCGTTCTGGGAATTTCTCCAGGAGCGGCAGGAGTATCTTGGCTGTCGAGGAGGCGCCAGGCCGAGTTGAGCGATTCAAGTCCAGTTGGAAAAATAGTTGTAAGGATGGCTTCTCCAAAAGAGCTTGGCGCAAATTATCAATCTGAGGATGCCATAAGGTTCGGTTATAATTGGATATTCAAAGACACGTACCAGTTCAGTTTCAGCAGAACCAATGTAGAGTGACGATATGAATATACGATGCTCTGCACGGCGAATCATATCCTTGTTCAGATATCAGATTGATACTATCAGAATTCATTGAACTTACCAACAGTAGAGCGTAGAACTCAGGAGGTTCACTTAGGATTGATATCTTGCTAGAAGACACCGTAAACGCTGGGTGATTTTGTGCGAGACTTGATGTGACGTCGCGCACAGATGAATCGATTCCCAAGTTTGAATGACATCGTATACAGCGCCTAGAGATACGCGCGTTACGCGCCTGGGACGACAAGATTCGACGGGCGGCGGCAAGGAGCATCCAACTTGAACAAGTGCAACGAAACAGGTTGTTTCCGACGTCGGCTTTCTTCGGTTGGTCACGTGGATGAGATGCCATCAGAGTCCGCACCCTCAACCCTTCGACGAACACTCTTCAGTCTTCACAACCCTCCTCACAATCCCAAGAAATAGTTTGAAATCAAGAATGTCTGCCGTTATTATGTTAGGAATCGACTTTGGGGATCAACTTTGCAAGGTCCGATCTTTCTCACCCGCCAGAGCACTCTGCTGATAAGCCTTAGGTGGCGATGGCAAATGCAACGACCGGGAAGCGATTCGATGAGATGAACGTCTCATATCTTAGCCCTTTGGTTCCGTGAGTGGCATCATCTCTTTAAATACGGCTAATAAACAACTGCATTCTGATTAGGTCTCTTCTCCTTGTGGAGAACGAGCAGAGCATCATGTTCGGAATCGACGCCCACGCAGCTGACGTCCCCGCCGCTAAGGTCGTCGGTTCACTCAAGCGCCTTTTGTCCCTCATCGGAAGCGACGTCTCGGACACCAGCGACGCCCTCACTCCATTTGTAGTCAAGGAAATGGAGACAGGCGATCTCGGAGTCGAGGTGCGCCAAGTTCATCCTCTACTGGCACCCCATGCTCACCTTTTCCCAGGTCCATGTCGCGGACGGAAAGCAAGTAATTTCTGCGATAGAACTGATCTCTCTCTTCCTTCGCAGGATTGTTGCTTTGACTTCTAGTCTCGCCCAAGGCACGGTCGCGAAAGCTGTGATCCACCGTGCCGGGCTGGTTTAGTAAGATTCAGCAGAGGTCCATGGCTGAAGCCTGCAAGATGGCCGGCTTGGAACTTGTTGGAATCATCACTGAGACGGCTGCAGCGCAGATGGACTACGCTGCTGCCCATTTGAAGACAGTTGCTGCTGACACTCAGCACAATGTCGTCTTCATTGACATCGGTCATACCGCGACCTCGTTGTCTGTTCTCTCCCTCCTCGAAGGGAAACCTGTCATTAAGAGCGTGGTCTCTGACGCCAACTTTGGTGGTCGCCACGTTGACGTCGCTATTCTCGGTCATCTGGGCATTACTGCTCCCGAGATCTTAGCGGATCGTCAGCAAGCTTTGGCAGAGTGTAAGAAGGTCAAAGAGGTCCTTCACCTCTTTGAAGACCTGACCGATAATCTGACACTCACCTCATCTGAGGCTTCTCTGAGTGGTCAGGCAATGTACAAACTAGTAGCGGCTTTGCACCGCATTCCAGATCTCGTGAAGGAAGCCATGAGCAAGGCTGAACTTACGATGGATCAAGTAGATAAAGTAATTCTGGCTGGCGGTTCTATGCATCTGCTTCAAGTCAGAGATTGCATAATGAGCCTCTTCCCTCTTGGTGTCTTACAATTTGGTTCACAGATGGCGATTGCGAGGGGTGCTCTCTATGCATCTTCTGCATTAGTTCAGTCTGGCCATTTTTGTCTTTGACAATGATGCATTACACTGCATGTTTACTGGAGAAACTTCTCTAGTCTGGCTTAAAGATGAAGTGTGCCTCTTAGGACATCTACTATGTCGCTGCCACACCTTCACTACGAGAAGGCAGTGCCGCCTTATAATCTCGTCTTGGACGTCAACAAAGTTTTGAATGAACTTAGCATAGCCTCTGCTGAGGTTACTCTGGATGATCCTCTAAAATCTCAAATGAGGCTTGTCGAGATGACTAGAAATCTTGAAGGTCATCCAGACCTAGCACTTCATCTCAACAAGCTTGCACACTTGCGGATAAGCAATTTGATAAATCTAAGGATATTGGAGTTCTCTTGCAAGCTGTTGCAGCACAGACTAATGCAGTGAACTCCAAGTCTATCCGCAATCCCCGCAGATAGAGCTAGATACTTGGATAGTCTTGCCCTTCTTCTGCGAAAGCTATATCGCCTTCAAAATGATGTAAAGGTGATAGATAATGGCATGGCCTGTCTAGAGATGGCTCAGGAAGCTAGCCAAGGATGATAGCCCAAACAGGATGAAGTACTTGAGCAATCTGAGCGGTCTGTTCTTCACGAAATATGACAGAACAAATAATGTTTCAGATTTGGACAAATCTATCAATAATCGAAAATCTGCTATGGATCTTCTGGTAGACGGCGACCCCAAGCGTGGACCACATTTTAATATATATGGCATCCTCCTTGAAAACCCGCTATGACAGACTAAGAAATATCTCGGATCTTGATACTGCTATTACAGCTCTTGAACAGGTATTGATGTCACCTCTTGATGATACTGTGAAAACCGCATGTCATTTCAATGCAGGAGTCTTACTGCAGAAGTTATACGACCGCGATGGAGATGTAGAAATTCTTGACAAGTCTATTATCCACCAGAAGACTACAGCTAGCCTTGCATCTGACAGTGATCTGCAGAAACCAATGTATCTCAACCACTTGGGAGAGTCTCTACAGATGTGCTTTCTGCAGCACTGGAATTTGGATGATCTCAACATGGCTGTGGATTGCCATCAAACTGCAGCGGACCTCATCAGTGACAGCAATCAGAGCAAAGCAGTCTATTCGAACAATGTTGGGAAATCACTTGAATGTACTTCACACCTCAAAACAGTTCTTCACATCTGGACAAAGCCATCATTGCTCAGCAGAGAGCTGTTGATTTAACACCGGATAACCATCCTAACAAGGGGTTGTATCTTAGGAATCTTGCAATGCTGCTAGAGAGTCGCTATTCAGACAGCTCTGATATTCAGGACATTGATAAGGCAATTTCAGGAAGAAAAAAAGCACTTTTGTATCTCCTGCCAAAGTTATTCACTTGACGGCATTGGCCACTTCGATCCTCACCAGATATACTGTGACTGGAAATGTATCTGACTTGATGAAGTCATTGAATACAGAGAAAGCTGCAAACATGACTC